TGTTTGCTATTTCGCTGTCGTCATGCAGTCGTTATAATGCAAACTTTAAATTGGACCGATCAGTGTCCGCTATTCGTGATAGTCCACCATATTTTTGAGATCAGTGAGGATGACCACCCACCCAACACCGTTGGTGACCCACGCCCGCGATAATTGATGAACTTTAGACTCCGCTAATGCTTTCGTTTCCCCGGGTGTAAATAGCCGGGGGGGATTAGTACCCTCGCACGGCGCTTGGCGCCGTCGGCTCGGGGATAATTATTATAATTATTATAATTATAATAATAATAATAATAATAATAATAATAACTTTATTGAATTTTTTACGTATATATACAATTGTAAATCTCACTACTGACTTAGAATTAATGTAATGCGGAATTTGATGTAATGCGGAGAAATCACACCAAGTTTGGCATTACCTAAAAAAAATAATAATAATATATAATAATTATAATATATTATAATAATAATAATTATATATATATATATATATATATATATATATATATATATATATATATATATATATATATATATATATATATATATATATATATAATATATATATATTTAACAATTATACCATGAGCTCGACTCGTATATGAGCTGATAGCCGACGAGGTGCGTAGCACCGAGTCGGCTATCAGCAATATACGACGAGAGCGAATGGTATAATTGTTTTATAATATAGTCTAATATAGCCATTAACTGAAGCAGCAATTAATTATTCACTGTTACAATGTGTTGACAATTTGTTCGGCCAAAAACCGCTTGAAAATTTGAAATACTTTTGTTTTACAACTCGAAGACGAAGTGAAAGAAATGGTTTTAGAACCTCTATATTTCACAGGAAAGCTCAGATATATTATACAGATGTTTGGTACTATAGTAAGTGCTTGTTGACTGCAAATTCATTTGTCGTTCATTGCAAACTTTTCTGAACAATTTATATTCTCAATGAACATGTTTTTCGCTGTTGTTTCGGTATTAATTCTTTAAAAAACTTGTATTTAAACTAATTTCTACGTAATAAATGTATTTTGCTAACCTGTCAATTTTTTTTTGAGAGTTTTTCCTTGTACTATTATGTTTTTCAAAGCGAATATTTTCCTTTTTCTGCTTCGCAAAACTCATGTAGTTTTTGGACCGCCATCTTGTTTTTCGCTACTCGCCGTATATGAGCTGATATACGGCGAGTAATTCAACCAATCAGATTGCAGAACAGCTCATATACGGTGGATAACTATATTATAAATATATATATATATATATATATATATATATATATATATATATATATATATATATATATATATATATATATATATATATATAACATATATATATATATATATATATATATATATATATATATATATATATATATATATATATATATATATATATATATATATATATATATATATATATATATATATATATATATATATATATATATATATATATATATATATATAATAGCCTACTGTCTGGCTCACCATGTCCATTTGACTAGATATCAGTAGTCTGTTTTAAACGATGTCCGTATCTACGTTCCTACTTGACCGAGATAATCCATGCAGCTTGGTCACGCGGTGTTGTTCCATCTGAATGGAAAAAAGCATGCACAAGATTAATTCACAAGAAAGGAGAAACAAATGACCCAGCAAACTTTCGACCAATTACACTTGAATCCATCCCGCTCAAAATCTTCACATCATGTCTTCGTAATAAAATATTTGAATTCCTCTCAGACAATAATTACATAGAACAAAGCGTCCAGAAAGGTTTCACTCCAAAACTCTCAGGAACACTAGAACATACTGCTCAGATGGCACATATAATCAACACAGCGCGTACCAAGCAACGATCTATAGTTATTACATTACTCGATCTTAAAAATGCATTTGGCGAAGTCCATCATAACCTCATTTACGAAGTCCTTGAATATCATCACGTTCCAAATCACATAAAGAACCTTATCTGCAGTCTTTGCACTGATTTCCAAACTTCCATCATAACTGAACAGTTTAGCACCCCTTCCACTACAGTTGGTCGTGGCGTTCTTCAAGGCGATTGTCTTAGTCCACTATTATTCAACATGTCATTCAATACTTTCATACAACATATAAAATCTGAAAAATACCGTCAGCTTGGATTTTGGAAATTAAGTGAAATTGGCATTCCATGCAATCCTATACATTGGTTTCAGTTTGCAGACGATGCTGCTGTCATCCGTAGCCAAGAGAAAGAAAATCAAGTACTCCTTAATTAATCGTTTTACAATCTGGTGTCAATGGGCTAATATGATTATACGCGTTGACAAATGTACAACATATGGCATTAAAAAACAGTTAACTAAATCCATGCACTGGTTACCCAAGCTATTCGGTAATAACCATCTTGTACCCAGAACCGAAATGGGCAAATCTTTCCGTTACCTGGGTCGCTATTTTGACTTCAATATGTCTGATGAGAAACACAAATCAGAATTACTCGATGTGTTTAATGACATCATGAATAAAATTAATGAACTACACTGTAAATCTCGCGGTGTTGCGGCAACACCAAAAAGGTGTAACATTACACTGATTAGGTGTAACGCGGAATTAAACACTGTTCGAGTATAACATTGCACTTCCACAGTGTGGCTTTACACTATTTTAGTGTTTTGGTAACACTTACTAGGTGTAAAATAGAAAATATCCTAATTACACCTAATTCGGTGTAGATTTGCATTATAACGGTGTAACCTTACCTCTTCTCCCTGTTAATTTACACTTTGCGATGGTGTAAATATACACTT